GTAACTTGTTTCTAAGTGATATATTATTACATTTTATTTTGTTTATTGTAGGTTGATATTATTGGGCACATTGGAAAGTAGTTGTTTCAAGGAAATTTGTTGTTATTTTCATTTTGGTGGAGATATTGTAAAAGATATACATGGGACAATGCATTATGCTGGGGGGAGTTGTAATGGAAGAATGATTAGAGAAGGAATGTCTCTTGAAGGACTTGTTAGATTGATTTCATCATACTTGAATTGTGATTTAAATGGAATAGAGTTGAAGTACACAGTAAAGTTTGATTGTAATGCTCTTTTAGATTTTAAAGATGATGAAGGGATAAATCAATTAATGAAATTGAATAATAATTTTGCTCATGTGCACATCATTGGGAAGATACAGCAAAGTATAAAGGCAACAAGAGATTCAATTAATGGGTAAGTTTTTTTAATAGTTACATGATTAATATTATACTGATATAAATATGAATGGTAGTAATAAACATGATTTGAATCGAAATGTAGAGCAGGATGTTCTGCTGGGAATTCATATGCTACACAAGATCTTGAAGTTCTACCATGTGCAATATAAAGTATCCTAACACCAATACCTGAGCTAAATGCAACAAAGTGGAAGGATTTGTTAGTAGGACTTGGGCAGATTTTTGTGAGTGCTAATGATTGAAGACAAGCAATCTACAAGTATAGTATTGCACTATGCATATTATCTTTGTAGCTCATAGAAGAAAATATATAATAGCACTATGCATCATGTTGAGATCCATGAGATGTCAAAGCCAAATGCATTGACAGTATCTAAGCTCATAAACCAAACCTTTCTGCTGCCTCCTAGAACATCTCGATCAGCTGGCAGACCTCGTTGTGTGAGGATTAAGTCTCAATATCAATAGAAGAGGGTTTATCATTGTTTTCATTGTCATGAAGCAGGTCGTACAGAGAAGAGGTGTAAAAATCCAAATCCAAGTTGATGTTATTGTAAATGGGTTACCACATGAACTTGAATTTGGGTGATATACATATATGGATAGTTTTAGATCAAGTTAGATTTGGTTAACATATATAGGTTTTTGTGCATATTTATTGGTAGTATTAGGGGATTTTTTTGGTACATAGCAACCCCTCTTTTATAAATCCAAGTTCATGCTTTTGTGTATGTGGATAACTTAGATGTGTAGATGCATTAGATGAATTAATACATGTAGCTTATATGTATAGTTCATATCTTCTGTAATCACTAAAAGTGTGTTGTCTTAAAATTTCGAACAGAGGTTGCAAATTATTTCTAAGGTAGTTGCAAAATTTGATATGTCAATTGCAAATTACTGGAGCCATGTCCTAAAATAATTTGGTAGCTTTGCAAGTTTAAGAATTTAAAAGTTATTCCACCCAAAATTTTGAGAATGAGTTGTAAATTATTCGTAAGGAAGTTGCAAAATTTAGGATGTTAGTGGCAAATTACTAGAGCCATGTCCTAAAATAATTTGGTAGCTTTGCAAGTTCAAGAATTCAAAAGTTATTCCACCCAAAATTTTAAGAATGAGTTGCAAATTATTCGTAAGGAAGTTGTAAAATTTAGTATGTTAGTTGCAAATTACTGGAGCCATGTCCTAAAATAATTTGGTAGCTTTACAAGTTCAAGAATTTTAAAGTTATTCCACTCAAAATTTTAAGGAGGAGTTACAAATTATTCGTAATAAAGTTGCAAAATTTGGTATGTCAGTTGTAAATTATCGGTGCATTATCCTAAAATAATTTGATAGCTTTGTAAGTTCAAGAATTCAAAAGTTATTCCACCTAAAATTTTGAGAAGGAGTTGCAAATTATTTGTTATGAAGTTGCAAAATTTGATATGTTAGTTGCAAATTACTGGAGCCATGTCCTAAAATAATTTGGTAACTTTACAAGTTCAAGAATTCAATAGTTTTTCTACCCAAAATTTTGAAAAGGAGTTGCAAATTATTTGTAAGAAAGTTGTAAAATCTAGTGTCTCAATTGTAAATTACTGGAGCATTGTCCTACAATAATAACTTTATGAATTCAATAGTTCTTCCACTCAAAATTTTGAAAAAAAGTTGCAAATTATTCATAAGAAAGTTGCAAAATCTAGTGTCTAAATTACAAATTACTGGAGCGTTGTTCTAGAATAATAACTTTCTTAATAATTCAATGATTCTTCCACTCAAAATTTTGACAAGCAGTGGCAAATTTGTCTCAAGATAGTTGCAAAACTGGGTACCTAAGTTGCTTGGCAACTTGATTGATTAGGTATAATGTATAACTTGAACATTGCAAATACGTTTCAATATTAGAAGTTGGGAATAAAATTGTAAAAACAAATTACAGAGTTACAAAGTTACAAACTTGATTAATTGGGTACAATATATAACTTCGAACTTAAAATCTATTTGAGCATGTCCTTACTTGTACAAACTACAAAGTCCCCCTTCAGCTGAGACACTCAGGGAAAAAAATTAAAGAAGAAGCAATTTCTGCATAATTGAAATGGTGAATGTTGATGAGGATCAGACTCTTCAGCTAGGTAAATGCATCACACCCATCAAAGATTAATGACCAAAACAGGTTATAGATTAATGACCTAAGCAACTAATCACTTAGGGCAGAGAAGAGACGTCAAATAGGACTAGAATAGAGATGACAGACAGCTTTACTAGACAGCCCAAGGAAGAGACAACAGAGAGCTTTACTTGCTTGCAATGAGACAAGGAAGAGACGACGAACAAGGCAAGGAAGAGACAACGAACAGGGTAGGGAAGAGTAGAGAATGAGCAACCTCAAATTTTCATTAGCCAAATAAGGGCATTTTGGTCATTTCTCATTATATTAAAATGCTACTCAAGGACCTAGGGACTTAACTGGCTTTTCAGAATGTCTTGGGACTTACTTTGAATAAAATTAATCCTTTGAGACTTAATTATCATTTCCTAAAATATAAAGATCATAATACTTTTACCATAATAAGAAACAACAACAACCTTTTTTCTTGTCTTCATGCACTTGCCTTTTGTATTTTCTTTCGAAAGTTTTTCATACATTTTTTTATATGTATACCTACGCACATATTAACGTTTCTTCAAAAAATATAAAATATTTTAAATTGAAATTTTACATTATAAGAGAAAAAAATTTAAGAAAGATAAATATCATACGCATGGAATCAAATTTAAAATTTGAATAAATTCAAAAACCTCGTGAAGAAAAAAATATGTTTTATAAGAGGAAAAAATACTGGATTAAAAAATATTTTTATATGATTAAAAATATTAAATACATGGCAACAATGAAAAAGTAGCAGAGGGAAACAAACATGGATATGAAAAGTTTATGAGGACATTTTGGTTAAAACATATTAGATTTAAAGTGGGTGACATGATTCTTCTCATTTTCTTAAGGCATTCCCCACTTCTAAATATATGGTAGTCTTTATTTTTTAAAGAGACCATTTAATGTTTCTTAAAATTAACTGGATAGGGGTGAGATAGGAATAGACACATGATTACCATCAATTCTAGTAAACAAACATGTTCCAAGGAACAATATTCTCATTCCAAGACTCAAATCATGTGAATTTCATAGCACAACGTTCTTTCGTGCAAGAATTATAATCATGGTTACATCATTCAATCAAGAATCCAACAAAACAATCCAACAATTCCAACAATAATTCATAGCAATCCATAGCTCGATCAAAACAAAACAAATCAAAATAAACAAAATGAAAGTATGAAATTAAGAAAGTTGGCACATTGTAATTTTCATGCTTGTAAAGATTCTAAAACCTTTACTTGCCTTTACTTTGTCTCTTTTAGTGCTTCCTACCTCAAATTAGAGTTTTGTTTTCTCTTGACCTAATATTTTATCTAGTTCTTTGTAATATTATATATTCCATCCATTCATAAATATAATGTATTTTTTAAAGGTTGAATGTTAAAAAATGTAAAGTATTTTTAGTATTTTGATGTGTAATTAATATGTTTTTTAACTGCTCTTAATAAATAAATCATTTTATATTTATTATTAAGTGAAACACCTTTTAAATAATGATAAATGTACAAAGATGTTGTTAATTTGAATATAATTAACTTAAAAATATCATATATTAGAATGAGTTTGTATTACATACTTTCAATTTTCTTGATATGTATGAAAGCTTTTTATTATATATATATATATATATACACATATATATACCCATATCAATGTATGTATTTTTAATTCAACCTTTCTAATAATTAAGTGCCTGGTTCAAAAATATATTCAATCCAACAAATAGTTGGATTTCCAAATAAATTTTTATTCATATAAATTGAAAACTAAATACTCTTTCAATCCTCCTTATAAGTCATTTATACTGATTTTATTAATGCCAATGCAAAAAAAAATATAAGAAATAAAAATGTATAAAATTTTAAATATGTCTTTGTATAATAAATTCAAAAAGTAATGTCATATTATTTTTTCTCTTTTTTAAAAGATAATTTTAAAAATATCTTTTAAATATTATCTAAAAAATTATATCCTTATTTATAAATAAAATTAAATAAACCTTCTTAAACATACTAAATCTTGGTTTCGACTTGCGACCAGTTGGAACATTTTAAGGCACGAGAAATAATATTTTCACCATAGGAAGTGGCGAAAATCTAGAGAGAATGTTCCAATGAAAGAAAACCCCCAAAACTCTCAAAACTTAATGCTAAATTTTTGTTTTTTTAGGATAATTTTTCACGGTCTCCATCTCTTCCAAGACGAACTGTCTCTGTTGCCGCTCGTGGAGCCCACAGTCAATCTGACGTCGACATTCCTCAATCACCGTTAACTATATCCATTAAAAAATTATCAGACACGTCAACGGTGGATATTCGACGCAAAATAAAACGTCATTTTTAGAATTATTTTATATTTTATTTTATAAGAACCAGAACCTTTCTGGAACAATGTATATTCAGGCCCAGCAATTCTTTTTTTTTTTTTTTTTCCGCAGAGCAAGCATGGAACGAAAAATTAAAATAGCTTGAAATTTAAAAATTAAAAAAAAAAAAAAGCAAAATTTTTCCATTATTTGTTTAGAGCCAACAGAGGAAGCTCCTGAAGCCATCGGTTATTGTTGATGGAACCGACTTCTGAAGGTAGCGGCGGAGGCGGTGGTGATTGTGGTGAGCTTTCTCGGTTCCGTTCAACTCCGGCCACGTGGTTAGAAGCACTGCTCAAGGAGGAGGACGAAGAAGACCCATTGGATACCACCCAGTGCTTCACTCAGCTTCTCGCTACAGGTACTGATAACTTGTCCAGAAATACGGCGTCTTTCGATTCGCCGGCGGCTGATGGATGCGGTTTTGATGCTGGGTCATCGTCAGGTGGATTTACCCGGCAGAATAGTTCTCCGGCGAACTTATTCGGGAATTCAATGGTTGTTGCCTCTGAAACAAGGTACTTCTCCAAGTATGGGGTTCAACACAATCATGACGTTAGCCCCCAAGATATCGATGCTTCCTCCATATCTAATTTGACACCAGTTAGACAGGTATAGTGTCCCGAGTCATTCATAAAATATTGTCAATCTTCAATTTCTTTGTCACGACATTTTTTTCAAGGAAACTTTCATTGTGTGCATTGTTTTAAATGTACTTAGATGTACTTAGATTAATATGGACTGTAATAGTCGTCTTCTTCATTCATTTCTTCGTTTAATTAGATACCTTTCATGATTTGTTAACAACGCTTGCTCGCTTTAAATTTTATTATATATATTATTGTGCTGTTTGATATTGATACATGCTTCAAGTATTTTAAATATAGAATGTTGAGCATACTGGCAAAGCACCAGACATGGACATAGAGAAGATTTTAGAGGATTCGGTACCTTGCAGAGTTCGGGCAAAGCGTGGCCATGCGACACATCCAAGGAGCATTGCTGAGAGGGTATCTTCTTTACTTGTCAAAATAATGCATTTTTCATTGTCAATTGGACTGTAATTGGTGTTTGCTTTCACTCCATATTGCGTAACTTCCCCCCTCTCTTTTGTTATAGGTTCGTAGAACTCGGATAAGTGATCGCATACGGAAGCTTCAAGAACTTGTGCCAAACATGGATAAGGTTATATTTCATTCTGACGTTTACATGTACTTTTTAATGTTTAAAAGGTGTCCTTGACAATAGGCTCAGCGATTATCACATGCAATGCATAATTGAGTAGGACAACTTCTGTTTCATTTTTATGTTTTTGACTGTGATACAGCAAGATTGCTTGAGTCATGGATGCTGTACTATTTGTTTAAATTTAAAACATACGTAGAAGCTTTGGAGCAAAAATAGATATCCAAGGATGTAGACCAACAGCTTTCAGCTTCTTTTTTTTTTTTTTTTTTTTTTAAGACAACCATTTCTTTAGTTTGTTACCAAGGAGTGTAACTTAGAAGTGAGGCTAGTAGGTCTAGAAGGTTTTCTCACTTAATGGACTAGTCTTTTGCGATAGACTTTCCCTTTGAACTTATGTCTCATAATATTGTGGATAGGCTAGGAGGGTTTTGACTGAGTTGAGCACAAGTTGGCTTCTGGTTTTAGTTGTTACTTCTCTCTTATCAGTATCACATGATTCAGGTTATGGAGTGTTTCCTGAGTGTTTTTTTCTTTTGTTTTATTGACTTTGTTTCCTCTGTGTTTTTGTGTTTTCGCCTTAGTTCTGTACTGCTGGGTTAATGATGATTTGCAACTTTTGAAAATCCCATGTTCTTTTTCAGTTTTTAATCATTAATTGTTTTTCACTATTTTTTTTTCATATGTACTTATCTGTAGGAAGGAACTAAACGTTCATTGAGACCATGAATGTGGTTTGAAGCTGGCAGTTTCATAGCATGATAGGCTACTAAAGTTTTGAATTTTGATTATTGATATTGTAAAACTTGTCTATAAACTTGGTATAGCATTACTTATCTTTTGTTTTGGAGAAAACTGAAGCTTGCTTTTATCGTTGCTTTTCCTTCTCTTTTTCCTTGTCACTGTAGTTGTAATCATCAGATAGAAATCCATGTGATTGAGAAAGCCTGTACATATTGGTTAATTAGAAGTCTAATGTATACATTGTAGTTCCTATTTTCTTTAAAACATATAATCCTAGTGTTCACCAAAAAAAAAAAAAAAGGAATATAATCCTAGTTCCTATTTTCTAAATTTTATGTCAAGTAAACTTGTATTTTTGAACTAGCTGGATTCTGCTTGAACCTTGGTTTAAATATCTATTTTTTCTAGCACATAAAATTTTAGGAATCATTAGGTGGTCAGAAATTACCTAGTAGAGTAGTTTCTCAGTCCTTTCATTGTTGCTTAAGATACAACAACAATAACAAAAGCCTTATCCCCCTAAGTAGGGTTTGTTACAAGTAGTTCATGATGCCATTGTAATCTATCTGAGACCAATTCTTCTGATAAGCCATTAATCGATAGATCTCGATTAATGACTCCTTTAAGTATCCTTCTTGGTCTCCCTCTACCTCTCTTCATAGGATTAAAGCCTATCTGCTCACCCTAGTGCCTCCACTAGCCTTCTTTGCACATGACCAAACTAACTTAAATGATTTTCTATCATTTTCTTCTCAATGTTGCTTAAGTTAAGGTTTTATAATTGAAGTGGCAGAAAGTTAGGTTTGGCTTTCTGCTTTAAGGAACAGCGTTTTTTCTTTGTTAGTATATGCAGGTAAAGCTAAGGGAAACCTCATATTGCATTTTAACAATTAAACTTGTAAAGTAGTCTCACTTTGATGGAAAACAACTAAATTATAATGAAGGGGAACATATAGAGTGGTTTTGGAGGAAGTAATGCTAGATAGGGTTGTTGACGACCTTTTGGCTCTATTGATTGAATAATTAACATTTAAGGATATAGTAATGATGTACATATCTACTTGTATATTACTGACTCTTTTGTAAGAAAAAAATTGTTACTTGAATATTCTTATCGATCCACCTGACTTGAGGCTAGCTAGGTCAACATTTTAGCCAATTGTTTACAAATTACAGCAAGCTTTGTGTTTTGAATTATTTTTTTTTTTTTTTTGGGTGAAATATGACCCCATCTTGTGCTCTTGGTATTACTTACAAATTGTGATTGGGTATTCTCTAGTCTCTATTTGCCATTTTTATTTTGTTCAAATGAAATGTGGGGATTTTATTTGATAATTGTGGAGCGCAAGTCAAATGCCATTATTGAATATAAAGACCTTTTATTTAACAATATATTCAAAGATTTGGTTGTCGATAGAGCACAATGGCGTTGTGCAATTCATGTAGTTGACCTCAGCTAGTGAAATGAGGCTTGTTGGTATTGTGTAGTTAGCTGATAATCAAGGAAGCTACGTAACCCAAACCTCCAAGACTTAGGTATTTCAATATCAAGCCTTATCCCACTAGGACAATAGACACAAGTTTCCTAATGTGGTTGTTTCATTTAATGGTTCAATTCTTCTTCAAACTTTGGGAATAATAATCCTCATTAATAGGTTTTGTGTTTCACGTCTGTGCTGAAGATTGTTGATACAGTTTTCATTTCTTTCTAAATCTGGTTGTAGGAATAGAGGCTTATTTGTAATCATTTCAATTTTGGGATGCCAGTCGTTTATGTGACCTCAGTGAATAGTTTTAACCATTCTAGTCTACTTCATATTTTCTTGAGGAGAAAACGGAAGTTAACAGTTTGTGGGTTTCAAAGGAAATATGAGGACTTATACTCGTGATTTTCAAGCAAACAAACAACAATTGGAGGAACATCCGTCCTTACAGGGTTACAGGAGTTAATTTGCTTTCAAGGAATCTGCAATTTTTTTCTTTTTTTTTTTCCTTCTGCATATTCTGTTGCGATGATATTTGTTTTATTTTTAGATCTGTTTATAACACTGCCAGATATGGCGCATGAGGGACATTTGAATACCTGTTATTTTTCACCTCATTCATAAATTGGTTTATCAATATACTGGATGATGTAGCCGTGTAAGGAGCATGACATATAATTTACACACTGTCATCGTGAGATGAAAAAAGTTATTTTGTTTCAAAATCATTGATTAACATGTGCTTTTGGATACTCCCTCCGTTTTTACTTATAAGTCACATTTAACTAATTCCTACAAATTAAAGAAATTAGTTAAAATTAATTGATATACCCATTGAATAATGAATTTTTTTTTTTAATGCAATCTTAATCATCTCTCTTTGTGGCCATCATAATTACTCAACAATATCCATATCAATGGCACTATTAAAAAATATTAATTGCTTGATATACTTTCCAAAATGACTTATAATAGGTATATAAAAGGCTTTCAGAGGCTAACGACGCTGCAAACTTCCTAGCCAAGTACTCTCTCTGTGTATGGCCAGGGGGGCATGTCCTTTGAACCCCCCTGAAGGTCTTCAAAGCAATCTGCTCCAGGATTATGGTCAACCACTCTTAGGGGTTTTCATTCTTTGTTCTTCCTTCTTCTTTCCAGTTGTTTATCTTTGTGGGGGGGAAAAAGAAATATAAAAAGCTTCTAAAAGTTTACTTATAAATAGTAATACAGCTTGCGTTATGTTTATTGTTATTTGTTGCTGCTGAAATAAGATAGCTTCTGAGTTTTATTTTTTTAAAATCTTTTTACTTCAACTTTTTGCGAAATGCTGACATGATGTCTTTCCTCCAAATTTTTGTTTCGTCTTTCCCCCCCCTTATCATTGTTTATTTTTAGTCACTTTCAGTGGTGATTTTTTCTTCCACTGGAGGATCTTGATCCTCACCTGATGACATAAAATTCTGAAATTTCCTTCTGTTGGATGTGTATTGCGTCATATAACTTATATCTTATTTCCTAAGAAGAAATTGTTACAACAAATCCGTGTGAATGCTAGCTTGAAGTGATATGCAGAATGGCCTATAAAAACATTTTGTACATCTGAATAGCTTTGCTTAAACTTTTTAGCTTCTTCAATTGCATTATCTTGCAGCAAACCAACACTGCAGAAATGTTAGACGAGGCTGTAGCATATGTCAAGTCTCTGCAGAAGCAAATCGAGGTACTTTCAACTTGTGTCTTCTTTTTATCTCGTCATTTGACTTACCTTTAGCAGACAAATTGTTTACAATATTTGTATTGGGGTCTTTTAATTGTTATCTTAACTTGTAGTCAACCCCGCCTAGTGGGATAAAATTTCTTATTGTTGCTATCTTAACCTGTAAACTAGTATGACATCCTCCCCGCTCTCTTTTCTTTAGATTTAGACGAGTCAAATCCTACAAAAACATGAATTTGAAACACTAGTGATTTGGGTTCTTTGTTTTGTGGCAACCAGCAATACCTCAATTTCTGATCAACCCTCATGATGCAAAATGCAGCTAGTTTCTCTGACCTTCTCTCTAGCCCCTCGTGTTGATCCCTAATTTGTTGAATTTTCTCTCTTAAAAGTGATGCAACAAAGACTGTCGTTGGTTATTTCTTGACAGTTGGATATCTGAATTATCTTTTTAAATATATACTCCCTCCAGCCTAGAATATAGGCAAAAGTAACCACCTCAAGCTTATTCAGAATTTTTTTTTTTTTTTTAACAAGCATAAGGAGTAAACTTCACCTACAGCAAAGAATATCTCTTTCAAAGTATTCAGAGCAATGTATAAACCTCTCCCAACTAAAGTGCTACATATACAAGGGCTGGGATTCTAACCTCCAGCCACTTACTTAAGTGAGGACAGCCTATGCCACTCACGTCAATTTTAACTGATCGCTTGTTAAGAATATTAAGTTGAAAGCGGTTATTCTCTTTAATGTTGTCAAAAATTGAATTTGCTTTCCTAAAATACTTTCATTTATTGCAGGAAAAATTTCCAACTACTATTTTCTCCTTAGATCTTCATCTTATTAAATAAGGGCACAATGGGAAAGGGTATCTTAAATGCAAATGGTACCTTTTGCTTATATATGAGAACAGATGGAGTATATACATACTCCAGTAACTATTGATTAAATCATGTAAACTCTTGTTAATTTTTTATCTGATTTTACTTCGACACACAAATTTGAGAATAGCTGTGGCTTGACAAACCAGTAGCATTGCAGGAACTCACAGAGCAACAACGAAAATGTAAATGCGTTCAAGAGTAAATTGGCCTTGATGTGTTATGCTGTGAATTATCTGACTCTTGTTTGGTTAAAAGACCATTCAAGCATATCGGCTTCTGACGGTGTTTCTGCATTCTCTCAAATGGATACCTTAAGATTTTCAGTTTGTGACACATTCTTCTGCAATATATTGGCTAGACACTACCATGATCTGTGAAAGTTCATGAAGAATCAACTTCTCATAGAAATTCTTATTCTTCATTTAGGATTGGTTTGGATGGAAGAAAAAGTAGGAAGAAAATAGGGAGAAGAAAAAATTAAGAGGAAAAATTTCCAAAAAATAGTAATTTTCTTACTATTTTTAAGAGTTTTTCCTTCTAATTTTCCTTACTCTATTTTTCTTCTTATTCAAACGAAGGGTCAGTGTTTTTATAGTTGAAATAGCTGTGCTTCTTAGGTGCACATATTTCCTTTAATTCTATGACTGTAACATTTTGAATCAGGCAGCTAGAATTACTCTGTAAAACATTTTACAGGTTGTTCTAAGAATTCTTCGTTCTGTAAGATTATATATTTATAAAAAAAAAAGGTTATATATATTTGTTTTCTTGTGTTCTAATAATTTGCTATTATTATTATTATTTTGAAGTTAGTTCAAGGGTTCATAGAGGGACCTGTGCTTAATTAAGTTTGACAATATTTAAATGTAATTTGATAGAATTAGATATTAGATAATTATAAAAGATAAATTCGCCATCATGTATTTGGAACTTTATTTCATTTGTTTTTGGCTGAATTGGATGTTTTGCAAACAGATACGCTCAAATATCTAAAGTATTTAAAGTTTCCTTTCCTGTGCCTTTTCTTTTTCATATTTTTTGGTAGGAAAATGATTTTAAGTTTTATATATCATTGTTATAACAATTTAAAGAAAAAATCAATAATGTGATGTTTTGATGACATGGTAGTACATTATACAGTTAATATATTATAATTGAAAATTTGGTATTAACAAAAGTGAGAAATTCTTTTTTGGTAGTAGGTGGTATTCTCTTATGGATTTGGATCTCGTACAATATCTATTTTTGTAAGAGTACAATTAAAGTGTTTAGAAATTTCATTAAGATATACTTAATCTGATATTTTGAATTTATAACTACTGAGTTTGATAATTTTATATACGTTAAACTCTCTTTTATAGGCATCTTTAGTGAGAATGTTGATATATTTAATTGACCTTTTTTTTTAACCAAATTAATCTTGGGAATTAAATGATGAATCATCAGGGGTGAAGCTTGGTTGTAGAATTAGAATAGACATACGCGTATCAGAATTTTGTCTCGTTTGATGGCAACGGCAATGGTGAGAGAGGGAAAAAAAAAAAGAATTAAAATTAACATAATTAAATAGCCTAGACTAAATAGATGTGTCTGTCATATCTTTGTATTTCAATGGATTTGATTAGCATAATAATTGATCAACATATCATTACAGTTAATTATACACAGCCTATTAGATTGCTATTTTCATAAGATGCATTAGTAATCAAGGGTGCTTAATTCTACCAGTCAAAAAAGTTGAACCAGCTTATTAGAAGGTTTCAAGTTTGAATCATAAAATAAGTAATCATGTTAAATAAATATGTCGAAGCATCTTTGAGATACTTGTGAAGTTGCTATCGGTAATATCGATATCAAATAGTGGAAATTTGAATTAGTCTATGAAAAATGTGGTAATACTCCAAATTTTCCAAGACATTGAGCAATGGAATTAAAAAAAATAAGAAAAAGAGAGATGCATTAGTAATAATATAATTTTCAACAAAAGAAACTAATTTTTTACAACGTGTCAAACTAAAGTTCAAATTTTGATTAGGAAAAAAACTCATAATTAATACTTGACTATACTTCGAACAAAATTACTTCTAATTAAAAGATACATAAAAAATAATAAAATTTCCAACTTACCATTGTAATAATTATTAACTTTTATCTCAATTTGAACATGGAATACCTCAAGTGTGTTATTGTGATGGATTCGGTTCATTTCTTGGGTTGCACAGTTCCACTAATGGTTGGGAAACTTAAACGAAAACTAACCAAAAAAAAAGTAATTAATTAATTTTTTTTTTGTTATTAGCATTGATGAAATAGTTACTAGTTAGTACTGATTTTACACTTAGATTTTATTTATTGAATATTATTTAATAATATAATAAAAGTTACTTGATAAAAATGTATTGTTTCACTTAGTCAAATTTGTGTGTATACACATACATACATGATTGTCTCAAATAGGATGATACTTGTGAATAACTAAAAAAAAAAAAGTTATCCATTCAAAAAAATATAAACTTGCAAAAAAAAAAGTAACACATTTTTTTAATATTATACAATAAATCAAAAAAATAACAAGGCAGATGCTTTTGAAGGCCTTAATAGCAATTATAAAGTTACATGAATATTAAAAAAATACATTTACGGTGTACACTTCACTTGTAAAGAAACACACCAAAAAAAAAAAATTATCTTCAGTCTTGCACTTTAGTAGCATGGAATTTGATGAATGGTGCTTTCAACTGAGTTTTTGACCATCTAAAAAAGAAAGAAAGAAAGGGGCAAAAAATAAAAAAGAAAAAGAAAACTGTAACTATATGATAGTGTGTCTATGGGATTTTTTTTTTCTCCTGTTCTAAATGTCATTAAAAATTAATCAAAAGACCTTACAAGTTAGATGAATCATAAAGCATTAAAGAAGTTGCTTATTATTTTATTGATAATTTGTCACCAACTGTCAGAAAAGGCAATGGGTACCTACCATACCAAGGGATAAATAAAAGGGTCCTTTAGTTACTTCAGACTTCATTATACCTCTTGAGGACAGTGTTGCTTTCAAGCAGAATTCTGATTGGATGGATATTACAGAACTTGTCTTCATACCAATGGATTTTGATATTGCTCTGCAGACCAGCATCAAATGCAATTATTTTTCTTGTTGAAATGACCTAATTACCTTAATGAGTGAAAATGCTTCAAATGTAAACCCATATTTGTATAAAAAAAAGGACTTTTATTGTAAATGATTAAACTTTTCTTATTATTTTCAAATCTTTTGTTGTTAATTTTCTTCAGTTAATTTGTAAATTTTCTTATGAATTAAAAAACTTCTTGTAAATTAATGAACTTTTCTTGGTATTTATGGATATTCTATTGTTAATTTTATTTGAGCACATACATTCTCATTCATTAAGGATAGTTTAGTCTGTTTACCTTCGAAAATAATTGCACTTAAAACCTTTGGGACTGCAAAGGAATATCATAATCTATTGTGCCTGCAGAGAAATTATGTTCCTTGGGTGGGCCTTGTATGAGATTCTCCCAATTATAGTTTTAACACGGTAGTAGAAGTATTCTATCATGAATTTCTAGTTCTAAGTTTACAGTCATATTTCTAATGGTGTTTCCACATGTGACTAAAGGTACTGATTGCTGATAGAATATCAAGTTTATTAAATACCCCAGTAAGATGCATTACAGATAAGATTAGCAGACACATAGCTGTCTTATTACAGTTACACCAAAGGCCTTCCATAAATAAATGCAATATACATTACAAGCATGAAGAAATGCTCTGTTTCATAGCTGAACTTGAAGGATTATTCTTAGATGTACATACAAATAACAATAGTGTAATTAAGTAAAATCTTTTATTTGATTTGCTGATTGTGATGATGATCGATGCATGTCCCTTTATTCACATAGCTATCTTATTAGTGCACAAGAGTTGAATGTAGTAGTATAACATAAAATGGATGATCAAGATTATTGCTTGAATTGAAGCTAGCTAGCCGAACAGATCTACCTGTACCTCTCATCTCATAGCATCATATCAGACTTAGATGGCAATCTTTTGAAGAAATTAACAGGCACAGAAGGCATCTTGCTTCTGAAACGAGGATGTCTCAACATGTAAAGGCCAACAAGAACTGCAACAACTTGGAAAGGAGTGACATAGATGAAGACAGCCCATATAAGTGACAAGATGATGAAGATGGCTGTAGCTCTTGAGTCTCTCCAACTCAGTAAAGCTTGTGCTCTTTCTCCTTGAGTAGCCAAATCTCCTACCACAGTCTGCACTTTTCCTGCTACACTCCTCAACCTGTCATACCTCATTCTCACAATATCCGCTGGTTTTCTAGTCGGGAATGTGTCGAATTCCTCATCCAACTCATCTGGGTGCGCGTTCTCGGCTTGTGAAAGCCGCGCATCCATGTGGGGCGGGTGCCTTGACCTGAACCGGTAGTTCCGAATCCCAATCACAAACAGGTAGAGGAAAATGGTGGGCAAGATCAGTTCTGGGTAGAAAACTAGTATCAAGAAGAGAACATGAACTAGGCAAGTGGTTATTGGATTCCTCCATGTGCAAATGTCATGGAACCATCTACACACGGCAGTAACACCAGAGACCAGTGACATAATTCTGCAAAAATTTGCTTTGCTTCTCCTCAAACTCCACATATGATAATCCACATCAAGCATGTACTCAACTGCCTCGGGCCTCAGCGGCGGTTCAGCTCTCACTAGCCTTGCTGCAACAATTTGCATAGCCTGGTGCCTGAGCCAATCTACATGCCTCAAAGGTATGGGCTGGACATAATGCATTTTTGGAAGCAAAGGCCTACCATATTGAGCAAGCATATTAACCCATGCTGTGCAAGTAAACCTCAATGCCAATTGAAGCTCTCCATTCTTCCTCAAGCCACCAGGTGTGAGAACCAAGAGTGGATAATAATGAGTATAAACTCTATCAGTTTCAAGAGTTGAAAGCCTGATTCTTATTTTGCCTATTCTTTGATCTCTGCTGTCACTGCTGCCATTGATGTGGTTGTTATCAAACATCCCAATTGTGATCACAGTGCAAAGATCATAAACTTCCCATGTGTACTGCTCGTTCCAGCGAGGGAAAAGCGTGTCAAGCAGAGTTCTGGTTCGAACCCATTTGTTGCCATACTTAGCTACACAATATGCATCAGTTGTTCTGCCATCCTTCCCCTTCATAGGCAGCAAATTCCTTGCACTCAGTATGCCAACTTCAAGAATTCCAATGCTTTGTTTCCTCAAGTGCTTGGAGGATGGCTGGAGATCACTGCTGAAATGTGTGGACTCATCAAGAACATGGTACCCGAGCTCGAGGCACATGCGGAGGTGAATCTTGCTTGAGAATTTCTCCTTCTTTTTCTCCTTTTCTTCTTCTCCAACTGCCGATAGCCTGTGCAGGTTGTACCATCGAGAATCAGGGAGCTTGCTGGTCTCAAGTCTATGTGGAACACTTCTCACTGAGATGATTTCCCTTCCTAAGATTTCCACATTGCTAGGACCAACTCTATCCTCTACAGTCACCACTATGAAATCCTCAAAAGGTTCTGCTGCAACAAACATAAGTTCATCATTCCAAACTGGGTTTATTCCTTTAACTTGAGAAAGCCTAGTGTATCTCATTTGACCTCCAAGTTGTACTTTCACCACTGCTTCAGGAACTCTTCCTTTCTCAGACGGCACAAGATCCTGAGCTTCAATCACTTGAACTCTGAGATAGTAAAGCTTTGGGGAGAAATATACCTTTGATCTTGTATTGGCCAAGTTTGTGTGACTAACATTGTGTGCATCAGAATGCCATGCCTCAGGAAAGGACTCATCAGCTTGAGTTCCCATCCAAACTGCAAGCATCACTTCACCTTTATGTAGTTTTTCCCCTTTCTTGTTCTCCAATCTGTACCACTGAGGAGCCAAAGGGCTATCTGGGGGTAGCCTAAGAGGTACTTCAGTGAGATCAAACCAAACTCTGCCCACAAAATCATCCTTAACAAAATCTTTGTCCTTCACAGTCACTTCAAGCAAGTTTGATTGCAATCGTTCCTTCGAGAAGGCAAAAATCTGCTTCCAAACCGGGTTCTGATTCTTCTCCAAGTGCTTCGTTACTCCTTTGTAGTTCCCAAGTTTCACTTCCACATAAGGATCAAGACTTCCTGTCACATCCATCACTGGAAGATCTCTTGCCTTCACCACACTCACATACAAGTAATGCATCTGTTCCACTAAATCATATGTGGTTGATATTTTGCTCCCTCTTCTATACCTCAAGCGAGCTGCTAGAGGTGGGCTCGTCTCAACCAATGCAAACTCTGGGTTCTGCTTCGGTACCTGCATCAACATCACATTCGGTGGACCTGCACGAGCAAAATCAGACCTCGTCGGTGCCGCCGGCGGTGGAGGAGCAGGTGCAGGAGGGTTATCGGGTTTCTCAGTTCCGATGGAGTGAAAAATTCTGACTTCTGGCTCCTTCTTCTTCTTCATCGCACTATCATCGCCAACTCTTCTTTCTTCATGGTGATCTAGCTTGTTGGTGTTAATCTCTTGCAGAGGAGTCTCTTCCACAGGTTCATCCATCACAGGACTGACTTTTGCTCCTTGTTCTTGCGAAGGAGGAGGAGGAGGAGGAGCATAACCAGAAGGGTCATAAACTACATAGGCTCTGAGAGCGATTTCTCCTCTGATACGTGACATTAGACTTCGTTTGTCAAGAGGATATCGCTGAACAGTGGCGTCAGAGTCAGAGAAAGAAACAGTCTCACCTTTAATTACGACCCTTCCAAGGAAGTTCTGATGGAAACCCGTATCGGCTCTTCGATTGTTGTACACGACAATCTTAATCGTCTTGTTGGGAAGATCTCTGGGGTCATCGACGTTGAACACTAGCTTCTCATTCCACTGAGGATTCAGGTCCTTGAGCTTGGTTTGAGTCCTCTGCTTTTGCTTGTCAAATTCTACCTCTACAAAGGGGCTAGCTGAGCCTTCTCCATCTTTGGGCATCAAGTCGCTCGCATCCAGAACTTCCACCACAAGCTTGTTCATGCTGTCTCAAGCGTTAGGTTCTGCTTCAGGAATCAGTGACTGAGTAACAGAGACGGATTCAATGATTCTGAGTGAAGAAGAAGAGGAACAAGAAGAAGACAGGGGAGGGAGTAGGAGAGAGAGAAGAAGAGAAGGCGGTGATGGTAGTGGTGGTCATTTTTGAGTAAGATGACAGAAACAGAAACATTTGGTTGGAGAGAGAAATGAAATGTGAGCGAGAAAGGAGGATAGATATTGGGCAGATGAAGAAAATGGTGAATTGAATTGCTGTTGCTAGCGCGCTGAGAGAGAGAGAGAGAGAGAGAGATGCTGAGTGAGAATTGAATTGCTGTTTCTGTTTGGTGTGCGAAGATAGTGGATTGGTTTCCTCACTGTTCTGTCACTATAATTGGATCTGAAGCATTTAAATTTAAATTTTTTAATTTATAATTAAACCATCCAGATTACTTTATCTGATTCCTATTACAAGATGCATTTAAAAATATTAATTAATTTTTAATGTAAGATGCATGAAAAATTATTTATTTTTATTTTTAAATTTTTTTATTATAAATTTAATTTTATAACTTGTCATATACTTTATATCACTCTCTTTTTATTTTTATCAGGTTAAAGTTAAAAATTTTTAAACATATTTAATAAATTAACTGTAATTTTTTAATGTTGGTAAAATAGTTAAAAGAATCTTAAATAATGAGATAGAGTATTGGGGCAGAAATAAGTTAGATTGAGCTAAACTTTTGTCAAATAAGCATGAGCCTGTGTGATAAGTCAGATGTCAAAGCCTGACCTAAAACCTGTATAAGGCTTTTCTTACTACTCAGGTCTGAGCCTATTTAAAGCCTAATCTGATCTAAAGGCTTATATAAAACTTACTTAAAAGTAAGCCTTTTAAATAAATTCACATTTTAATTTAAAATTTCTCACATATACTTTAGGATTATTAATATAAATATATAACTTGATTTATTAATTACAATATATAATAAAAAAAATTTATCAATTACAATACAATAATAAAGTAATAACTTTGAAATCAATATATAAGTTCAATTTGATTGAAAATATAATTAAAAATTAAAAATAAATTGATCAAAAACCAAATTGAAAAATTGATATGTGTGTGCGATATATTACATAATGTATATATGTGTATATATATGTAAATAGGCCACCAATTGGATTCATAGGCTAGCCATTAAAAAATTAAACCTGTCTTATTTAATTAAATAGACTTAATAAAAAGTATAAACTTAATTTAAACCTATTTAGTAAATAATTTAAATTAGATTTAAATTAGGTCAAGGCATATATCCCTGTTACGCTTGGCCCATTCCCGCCCCTAACAAAGTGTGTCATATTGAATACACCCTATTGAATTCATAAGGTTTTTCAACAGAGCCACCCTGTTAAATTAAAATAAATATAAAAAAAATGTATGATTTAATTACTGGTCCAAAAAAAATAGTGTAATTTAATTAAAATGTCTTGTAATATCAAAGTATAAAATAATTAACATTAAATCCAAATTTCAACGAACAGGTGTCAAAACCAGATTCCTTAAGAAACCCAAGTGGCCCCTAATTGATGAATTAATAATGGCGTTCATTTCATTTCAAGTGGGTAGCTGCGTGTCCGTTTCCCTTGTTGGGGTGTCGTGGTGGGGCTTATGGGTTAGGCATGGAAAGAGAAAGAAGATAGAGGCATTCATTTGTTGTCCTCTTTATAATTTTTTTTTCAATAATATATCATAAATAGTTTGTTGAGAGGTGAGGTTGTTAGTTTATTTAATTATTTACTGCCCCTTGTTTTGTTTTTTTTTTTAATACAACAATTATATCATGTCTTCTCTGTGGGCTGAGATATATCAAAATTCTTAAATCCCATTTTGTTACTAAAAAAATAAAATTGATTAAAAAAATTAAGATAAAAATAAAATGATCAAACAGAATATTGAATAACATTCATAAAAAAAATGAGTAATTGAGTTTATAAAGTTGAAAATCATGAGTTATAAAATTTGTAGAGGGTATGATAACTCCTATATTCATAGTATATATTAATAAATTTTATCATAATTACCATAAAGAAAAAAATAATTTAATTCATTAATATATTGATTTATCCATTTTATTATATTATTTCTAGTAACTAAACAGACGTATATTTAAATTATCATTTCTTTTTTTTTTTTACCAGCTTTAAATTATCATTTCTAATTTAATGAGAAAGCCCATCCAAGTAATTTGTTTCTTGAAAAAATTACATATAAATTTCATAAAATAGATTTATTCACATTAAGTCTGTCAAAATTCAAAAATTACTGTTAGGTTCCTTAAAACTTGAATGTAATTTAAAATTGAGTTGCAAAAACAATAATAATTGTAGTAAACAAACATTATATTAATTAAATAATTAATTTATAACTAATTTATTAGCAATTTAAAACTATAATTTTAACTATTTACAACTATAACTTTATATATTTAATAGTTAAATAATCATGCATTATTAATAAAATTTAACATTAATTATTTACAATTAATTTATCAGTAATTTACGACTGTAACATTAAGCTTTTACAATTGTAACTATTGAATATATGAAGTTATAATTGTAAAAACTTAAAATTATAGTTGTAAATTATTAATAAAGTAATTATAAATTATTTGACTGATATAATATACTTATGTTTAATAAGAACATTATTATTTTTTTACTTCAATTTTAAATTATACTCAAATCTTAAGAGACTTAGTTATGATTTTTAAATTTTGTAAAACTTAATCATAAATAAGTCTACTTCACGAGATTTATATATAATTTTTTCTTATTTCTTTAGATATTGAAAATGATCTTTAATATATATTAAAATTTTAGAGTGTGGGTAACGCTAGTAGAACCTGTTCCGAATGAGCATGAGGGGCTTTCATGTTTTGTTTTGTTTTAGATTAGCTTTTGGGAAATGAATTTTCAAAAATATTGCAAATATACCCTATGAAGTTAAAAGCTAGTTTCTTGAAGGACATTTAACTATCCATAAATTATAAAAAAAAAACATCTTTTAAATTTTATATATGTATTCCCTCCCTTTAATATAAAATTATTTATCAATAGGGGCACTTTAAAAAAAAGTAATGATTACACATTAAAAAATTAAAAATATTTTACATTTTTTAACATTTAACTCCTAAAAAAATACCTTATATTTTTAAAGGGAGGGAATAACAATTTATAATTGGAAGATATTTACTCATTATTATCACTACCTTAAGTGAGATCATACTCAATTGACAGGGAATATACTCTATCAATATTTTTAAAATTAGACTGAATATTAAATTGAGAAAATTAGTAGTTTACGGCTCGCATGGTTCAATGAAGTTGAACCAATAATTAAACTGGTGATATAATAATTAAATTAAAAAAATTATATATATAATAATTTAAATATAAAAAATAAATATAAAATTGTTATTTATAATTTTAAAATAAAACCAAATATTTTAAATTTACCATACCTTAACAAGTCATATGATATAACATAACATCAAATCATTAAAAAAATTGATCCTATTTTAAAAAAATTAATAAAAAACAAGAAAATCTAACAATTTAGTTTTAAAAAACCGAATTCAATTCTCAATTTAACTACTAGTTCAAAATGATCCAATCCGGCTGAAACTTTGAAAAAGGTTATTAACTTACCAAAAGATAAGAAAAAAGTAGTTATTGACTTACTGTTCAATATAAATTTTCTTTTCGTGGGATTCAAAAAAGTTTTATTATTGCACAAAAAAATTACTTTTATGGGATCTCACCGTAAGTGTAATTTACTTTTGGGAAATGACATTTAACTGTTAAAAGGTTGAATTAATAATAGTTTTTTGACCAGAATTAATAACAGTTGGGCTTTTAAAAAAATTGTTTTGAGAAATGAGTTACGAATATTAATTAAAAATTATAAATAAAGAGCTACATTTAAAAAACAAATTAAATGTTTTATTTGTAATTAAAATTCTTAAATTTTTAAATTTTTAAATTGATATTTGTAAGTAATTTTTTAAAAAAAATTTGTTAGAAACCTAACTATTATTAACTTGTTCTTTGGAGATTTATCCTGATCTAAAAATTACTTTTTATAGCATCTTTTATTTAAAATGAGCTTTTATATATATAGCTCATTTTATAAAATCAAGTCCAATAAATTGCCTAACATTTGCCATATTTTGCATTATAGCCATTTTAATTTTAGTTGAACTATATATGACAAAACTACCCTTTTACTAAATAAGATGACCTTCTTTCAAATACTCTTTTTTGGACAAAAACCTTCTTTCAAATATTTAAAGATGGAAGAGAGCTTCATTTGACTCTTTTTTAAAAAAAAAAAAAAGGAAAGGATGGGATTAAACATCCATTTATCTATAGGATTAAATGGTGTTGATAAGTTTTCAATGATAAAGTTTGTCAGTGATATACAATATACTATTATAGATTAGAAACACAAAAAAAATAATGATTTGCCCAAAACAAATCAAACACAACCCGCAAAAAATTCAAGACATTTTAACTTATAAAAAAAAATAAAATATCTAAACTAGTAAATCTCATTTTCTATCATAAGAAATGACAAGATTAAACATCTTCTTATCTATAAGTTTAAATGGTGTTGATAAATTTTTACTGATATGGTTTATAAATTGTATATCACTGATATATTATCGTGGATGAGAAACACGAAAAAAAAAAAACATTTGCAATATATTCAATATATTCACTTTTAGAGAAAGAGAGAAATGAGGATGGGAGGTGAGAGATAGAAAATTCAATATATTCTTTTTGAGGCCGCCTTAAAATCATTTGAAAAATCAAATGAGGAATTATTTATGATTCCGGGTTGGCTTACGAAGAAACAGATATACACTATTCATTATCCAAATATTAAAAACTGAATCCATCGTTGAACTGATTAAAATATTAATTTAAAAGTTAATAGTTAAAATAATAATTAAATTAATTATAAATAAATTATTTTATTAAACCAATAAAAATACTGGTTTAACAATTTTTTAGTTTAATCAGGTAGGTTGATTTGAAGTTTTATACTACGGTCATTATACAACAGTTTGAGAGAGAAAATTAGTCGCTATTTGCCCCCGCAAGCAAATGGCAAGACTAGACAAGCAGGCAGCCATGGTCTATCAAATATATGTTGCTCCATGTGGATGACGATTATGCGGGATAGCTTTGAAGCAAAAAAAATAATGGAGTCCCCAACCCCACCTCCCAAAATATGAAAGAGCATTTTGTTTTGTTTTTGTTTTTGTTATCATAGTTAGATTATACCCTTGATGAATTAAGCGAAGCAATGAGAAGTGAAGCTCAAATTAGATTAAATAATTATTTTATTACATGTGATGGTTATTATAATCATTTGAGTTTACAGGAAGTGCTCTTGTAGACAATATTATAAAAACTGAATTGGTCATTAAACCAGTTAAGATACTGGTTCTTGGTTCAATAGTCAGACTGCGGTTTAAATTGTGGTCTAACCGGTCATAAATAAATTAATATATTTTAAATGTTATATGTTTAAAGTAATAAAGAAATAATCATATATGTTTAAAGTTTTATACTATGGTCATTATACAACAGTGTGAGAGAGAAAAATAGTCGCTATTTGCCCCCGCAAGAAAATGGCAAGACTAGACAAGCAGGCAGCCATGGTCTATCAAATATATGTTGCTCCATGTGGATGACAATTATGCGGGATAGCTTTGAAGCAAAAAAATAATGGAGTCCCCAACCCCATCTCCCAAAATATGAAAGAGCATTTTGTTTTGTTTTTGTTTTTGTTATCATAGTTAGATTACACCCTTGATGAATTAAGCGAAGCAATGAGAAGTGAAGCTCAAATTAGATTAAATAATTATTTTATTACATGTGATGGTTATTATAATCATTTGAATTTACAGGAAGTGCTCTTGTAGACAATATTATGAAAACTGAATTGGTCATTAAACTAGTCAAGAGACTGATTCTTGGTTCAATAGTCAGACTGCGGTTTGAATTGTGGTCTAACCAGTCATAAATAAATTAATATATTTTAAATGTTATATGTTTAAAGTAAAAAAAATCATATATATATATATATAGTAGCAAAAATAAATATTTAAATTTCAAAGAAAATAATATACAATTAAAAATAGATGACATCTATCAATATTACCAGTGTTATTAGAACTAAATCGATTAGTCTGACCAATTGAACCACGAACCGTTCATTGGTCCACTTTGGTTACAATGAAAAACCACTCATTCTGCGAACCGTCCATGATCCAGTTAAATTAGCCAAAACTAGTAAATCGGTAAGACACAATTGAACCAAACATGTTACTTTTTCATTTTTTTATTTTTAGTTCATACTTTTAAATTATAATTTATACATATTTATACCTAATAAGCATTATGAAATGAAAAAAAAATACAAGAAATTTGCATGAATTATGTATATATGAATATATTTTAAAGTTATTAATTATAAATTATGAAATAGTTTATATATATTGGATGAAAATGATGTAATATTGAAAGATATTATCTTTTTTTTATTGCATATTATTTTGTTTAAAATTTAAATATTTATTTTTCTTACAATATATATGATTATTTCTTTCTCCTTTGGACATATATTATTTAAAATATATCAATTTATTTATCACTAGCTAGATCACAATTTAAACCACAGTCTAACCATTGAACCGTGAACTAGTACTTCAACCAGTTCAATAATCAGTCTAACCATTGAACCGTGAACTAGTACTTCAACCAGTTCAATAATCGATCTGATTTTTATAAACATTGAATATTACATGATTTTCATCCAATATATATAATTATCTTGTAACACACCAAATTTTTTTTTAAAATAATTTAACTCAACCATAATTGGGTTACAGCCACCTAACATATTTTTATATCAATAATTTTAATATAAAATATTTTATAATTGGCTTCAACTCACATAATATAACATTTTAGATAAATTTTTACCTCCCACATGCCATTAGGCTAAATCACATTTATCCATCCTTATACTCTCAACAAGTAAACTAAATCACATTTGTCCATCCTTATACTCCCAACAAGTAAAATAAACAATTTAGTCAATTTTCAACACAAGCCAGTTATTTGGCCTCATAATCATGCCATTTTAACCAATTCAAAGTAAATGAAATATAAAAATTAGAGTCATCCAAAGTATACCAAAAATAGAAATAGTTTGAAAGGCATGATTACATTTATATATTAATATAATTGACAATAAACAAAAAGCCCTAATATTGGCAATATAACACATTATAAATCATAAATCAAATACCCAAAAGAGACAGTGGATCTAAACCACTAAGCCTCTGGGACTCCTCCACGTGTCACTCGTGGCTCTTCTCCTGAAAATTGTTAACCACATAATGAGACTCAAAAGTTCCAGTAACCAATACCAATTTATGATAGTGTGTACAAACAGTTAAGTGTGTGCTCACTAAGTGAGAATTTAAAAATAATATAATTCCAACAAATATATGAAATATTACAATACACACAAATAACCATCCTTATATCCCTCCATTAACCTCGAGCCGTATCCCTCACTCGGTACTAAATTACCCGACCAAAGGTAGATTAGCCCGAGCCCTTACAAGCCACCTATTGAGCTCCAATAGGGACGTACCACGTGGCACATAAATGCAATAACAATAGCAAGTCTCCCAACACCTCTCACAATAATCAAATAAATTCATAATAATATTGCACAATTATATAATATTACAAAATTTATAATTTTCTCAATAATCACCCAATTAACATGAAGTAACACAAATCACAAATTAAAAGCATGGTTACCTTGTGGCTTTTTCAATAAATTATTCCTTACAATTTCTCTCTCACCACAAGCTTCACCAATAATACAATCTACAAATAACATATTATTTATAAATATTAGTTTCAATTTTTGAAACTAATAAAATAATTTAATAATAGAATTAAAAATATAACATAATTCCTAATCTCAATCTTAATACAAATCTAGAGTCAACACTATTAAGTAAAATTTTTAACTCCTCTTTTAATTATCAATAAACATTAATAATCTAAAAATCAGCTTCTAAACTAATTTCTATTATCAAAATTTTCTTTTTATTTCATAAATTCGTACCTAAAATACTCAAAAATTAAAAATTGAGTCTCTAGCTTAGAATCATAATCCTATAGCCATAATAATTCATTTCTCATCTCAAATAATCATTTAAACCTCAATAAATCAACATATATTTTCAGATCTAGTTTAGAATTTGATCCATAAGCCACAAATTCAAAGATCATCAATAAATTTATACTCTAGAACATTTATTATACTACTGACAACCTCAAAAACCATATTTATTCAATATAAATTCATCCCTCTTCCAGATCTTAAGTTTTCTACCACTACAAACTCAGAAACCAAAGAAGAAGGATGACTAAGAAAAAATTTTAGAACACTTATTTAGTCTTGAAAAGCTTAAAATCACACCCTAAATATCCTATTAAAAATTCTTACCTTAAAACCCAGCACCAGCAAAACTAGACGCTCTCTCTGCCTCAGCTCGCGCACAGGGAAGAATGAAGAAACGAAGAAGTGAAGAAAGAAGGAAGGAGGTGGGTTTTTATAAAAATTCAGTGGGTCCCACATTTTTTTTTATTATTTCTTCTTTCCTCTCTCTTCTTCTTCTTTTTATTTTTTTTAATATTTTATACGAATGATTGTTGTGCGGCGGTCGAAAGCAAATTTTGTTCTTCTTCTTCTTCCCCCCTTTTTTTTAAATACCTTTTCCCTTTTCTTATTATAATAATAATTTAATAATATTTTATTATTATTTTATTATTATTTTTTTAATTAATTTTTTTAAATTTTAGTTTAGAATTATATCTTAAGTTAGATTTAATAATCATCTTCTACTAATTTGCTTACCTCTAAATATTTTTTTTAATTTTCTATTAACCTAAATTAACTATTAAAATTTAAATTGAGATGTTACAATTCTCCCCTCTTTTTAAAAATTTTGTCCTCAAAATTTGAAGTTAGTAACTATTAACTACTTACTTAATCAAAAAGATGAGGATAATCACGTCGCATACTGTCCTCGGTCTCCTAGGTAGCATCACCTGGAGTCGTGCCCTTTCAAATTACTTTAACCAATCTAATGGTCTTGTTTCTTAATTGCTTGTCCTTATAATCCACAATCTCTTTCGGTTCAGCTCTGAATGTTAAATTCTACCTGAATTCAATCTTCTCGGGTTCAATTATATGGGAAGGATCTGGTTGATACTTCTTCAGTTGTGATACATGGAATACGTTGTGTATTCCAGCAATTTGGGGTGGTAATGCTACTTGGTATGCTACTGGTCCAACTCGTTTTAAGATCTCAAAAGGCCCCATAAACCTTGGTGTCAACTTCTTAGTCTTAATAACTCTTTCAACACCAGTTACCGGAGAGATTTTTAAAAAAACATGGTCACCTACTTCAAACTCAAGCGGTCTTCTCCTCTTATCTGCATAACTCTTTTGTCTACTTTGAGCTGTGAGTAATTTTTGCTTGATTAAAGCAATCTTTTGGGTAGTCTCATCAACAATGTCTAGCCCTAAAACAGTTCTCTCACTTAATTCTGTCCAACACAGTGGCGATCTACATTTTCTTCCATACAATGCCTCATAAGGTGCCATCTGAATGCTAGAATGAAAACTATTATTGTAGGCAAATTCAGCTAATGGCAAGTGACTATCCCAATTACCTCTAAGCTCAATGGCACAAGCCCTCAACATATCTTCAAGAGTCTATATGGTTCGTTCTGTCTGCCATCAGTCTGGGGGTGGTAAACGGTGCTAAAACTCAGACGAGTACCCATGGATTCCTGTAATGACTTCCAAAAGTTTGATGTGAACCTCGGATCACGATCAGATACAATATTAATCGGCACTCCATGCAATCTCACTACTTCTCTTATATAAATTTCAGTTAATTTTTCAAGAGAATAAGTGATATTGATAGCAAGAAAGTGAGCCGATTTGGTAAGTCGATCTACGATTACCCACATAGTGTCATGACCAGAAGATGTTCTAGGCAATCCTGTAATAAAGTCCATAGAAATGCTGTCCCATTTCCACTTTAGAATATCAAGAGACTGTAGCATTCCGGCTAGTTTGTGATGCTCAATTTTGACTTTCTGGCAAGTCAAACAACGAGTTACATGTTCAGTTACATCTCTCTTCATCCTTGGCCACCACCAACCACGTCTTAAGTCATGATACATTTTAGTTGCTCCTGGGTGAATGGTATATTTACTCTGATGAGCCTCCTCAAGTAAGATATTTTTCAATCGAGCATCATTAGGCACACACACTCTACCTTTATATCTTACGACATCATCATTGGTCACATCAAAATGTTCAGCCTTTCCAGCCCCAATCTCTACCCTAATCTTATTCAAATGATCATCCTTCTGTTGCGCAATTCTGATTTCTTCCCAAAAATTATTCTCAAATTCAGCAATGTGTAGAGCAGCCAAATGATTCTTGACTACTTCTATATTTACTGCATGGAAACTACTCCATAATTCATGTTCTCTGACCATCATGTGAGCAGTATGTACAAGCTTCCTGCTCAGAGCGTCGGCGACTACGTTAGCTTTCCCTGGATGATACTTCAACTCAAAGTCATAATCCTTCAAAAACTCAATCCATCTACGCTGTCTCATGTTGAGCTCCTTTTGATCAAACAAATATTTTAAACTTTTATGATCACTGAAGACCTCAAAAGAAGAACCATAAAGATAGTGCCTCCAAATCTTCAAGGCAAATACCACAGCAGCAAGCTTCAAGTCATGAGTAGGGTAATTTTCCTCATGAGGTCTCAACTGTCGAGAGGCATAAGCCACTACTCGATCCTCCTACATTAATATACAACCTAAACCTTTCTTAGAAGCATCAGTATACAAGGTAGAAGGAGCAGTTGGAACAGGTAAGGTGAGCATTGGTGTGGTGGTCAACCCCTTTTTTAGCTCCTGGAAGGCAACTTCACACTCGTTCGTTTAAATAAATGGAGCATCTTTCCTGGTCAACTTAGTCAAGGGCATTGCAATTTGTGAAAAACCCTTAATGAAACGACGATAGTAGCCTGTAAGACCCAAGAAACTCCTAATCTCTGTCACACTTCGAGGTTGTTCTCATTTCATCACTGCATCTATCTTACTAGGGTCCACCGCTACCCCTTCTTCTGAAACAACATGGCCTAAGAATTTAACTTCTTTAAGCCAAAAATCACATTTGTTCGGCTTGGCATAGAGCTTGTGCTCTCTTAATATCTCCAAAATAATTTTAAGATGTCTAGCATGGTCCACCTCATCCCGAGAATAAATAAGTATGTCATCAATAAAGACTACAACAAATTCATCGAGATAAGGCCTGAAGATTTGATTCATATAATCCATGAAGATAGCTGGGGCATTTGTTAACCCGAACGGCATCACCAGGAACTCGTAGTGCCCATATCTAGTTCTAAAAGCAGTTTTAGGGATATCCTCTGCTCTAACCCTCAATTGATGATACCCTGATCTTAGACTAATCTTAGAAAACACCGCTGAATTGACTAATTGTTCTGACAAATCATCAATTCGAGGTAAGGGGTACTTGTTCTTGATGGTTACCTTATTCAATTGTCTATAATCAATACACAATCTAAGGCTTCCATCTTTCTTTTTCACAAACAGTACCGGTGACCCCCATGGTGATACACTCGGTCTGATAAACCCCTTCTCTAACAACTCTTCAATTTGTCTTTTCAACTCAGCTAACTCCGATGGAGACATCCTATAGGGTGCCTTAGAGATAGGCCCCGTACTAGGTACGAGTTCAATCAAGAACTCAACCTCTCGTTCTGGAGGCAAACCGATCACTTCAGTAGGAAAGACGTCAGGGAATTCTCTCACTACTGGAATCTGATCTACACCTTCTTCAATCTCTGCCTTGATTGAGAAGAAAATCATAAAAGCTTGACAGCCCTTTCTTATACATTGTTCTACTTGAGCGGCAGACAATAACATAGGACTTTGGGATTCTACAGGGGTTACAATAAGAGCTGAGAGTAACATACTCTTTCTCTGACAATCAAGTACAGCTCCATTTGCAGACAACCAATCTATCCCCACAATAACATCAATCCCAGACAAAGACAAACAGATGAGGTCTATGGTGGTCTTTTGACCCTCATACTCAACCTCTACATTTAGACATGCCTTAGCAGTTCTTACAGTCAAACCAGCAGGAGTAGAAATCTTCACATCAAAAGGTAAGGTACATACAGGCAATTTACATCTTTTCATACATTCATCAGACACAAAAGAGTGTGTAGCACCCGAATCAAACAAAGCACAAACATCATTATCAAGGATTCGGATTATACCTCGGATAGCATTAGGGTTGTTAGCAGCCTCCGGCCCAGAGAGGGCATACACTCGTGCTGGCATTGTAGGTCTCTGATCATTACCCCTATTCTGATTTTGATAGCAGAATCGAGCAATATGACCAGGTTTCTGGCAAATGTAACAAACCCAACAATCACCAGAATGAAACTTTCCACACTTACTGCATGCTTGATTACTAGCAGTACCAGAAGTAGGAGTAGAGGTTGCTAGGCTCCTGTAAGACCCCTGACTCCTACTCTGATTCCCTCTATAGCTTTGGCCCTTATGGTAGTAGCCTTTCTTCTTTTGATTTCTAAAGCCTCCAAAGATTTGACTACTCCTCTTCTCTACTCCACCAATGGGTCTGGTGTGGATAGGGGGCTTCCCATGAGGTTCTTTCCTCCTCTCTCTATCAGCTTCTAATCTAGCCTCTCTCTTCCTCCGAGAGACTATTCGAAGCTTATTGCATATCTCACTAAATATCTTGATCTCAAAAGGGGCTAACTGTTCCCTTAGATCAGGCCTCGCCTTCTCTAGCAATCGTTTAGTCATCCACTCCGTATCTTCTTGTTTTTAGAGGTAAGTGGAGTATTTAGATAATTCTGAGAATTGTTCAATAAATTCATCCTCATCTAGATCACCCTGACGGAATGCATGAAACTCAGCCTCCTTTTCTGCTCTCAGTGCAGTAGGAAAATAATTCTCGAATAATATGGCTTTAAAATCTTCCCAAGTAAGAGAGGAATCATCCTTCGGTCCTGATGTTTCCCACCATTTCTTAGCACTCTTCTGTAGTAGGAATATTGCCAGCTGCACCTTTTGATTAGAAGTACACGCAACCATACAAAAAATACTCTCCAATTGATCTATCCATTCTTCAACCACTGTTGGCTTAAGATTTCCATCAAAAGTAGGAGGATTAAACTTACGAAAAGTACTCCAGATCTTTGTGATCGTGGATGTCTGTTGCTCAGAGTGAAGACTCACATTCTTCGAACTAGTCTTATGGTGAGAATAGGAAGGTGAGCCTTCATTAGCAGATTGGCTCACATTGAATACCTTGGTATGGCTTCGTTCTTGTTGGCCATTTCCCTCTCGGTTGGCATTCTCCTTATATTGTCTTAAAGCGGCCAACTCTTCTTCTTGTCTCTTCATGCAGTCACTAAGATTATGTAGTAGATCCATCATTTGCCTCATGATTGGCTCATCCTGCCTTAGTTGTGACTGTATGGGCTCGCCCTGCCCCATTTGTTGCTGTGTGGGCTCCGGTTGTGGCAGTGAAGGTATGTCATTTCCTATTGGCTCTATAGAATCACCGACAATTTCGCCACCTCTCCTAGCTTTGGACACCATCTCTCCCCTCCTAAAGGATGGAAGTCACATAATTAAGTTAACACTAATCTCAAGACAAGAAAAATAATGGAGAAGCATTATGATTTAATAATGTATATTGTCAATAAATTAGGTTAATGTATAACAATTTCATAATTTATAAGAATTTGAAACATGTAGCTCTGATACCAAGATTTGTAACACACTAAATTTTTTTTTAAATAATTTAACTCAATTATAGTTGGGTTACAGCCACCCAACATTTTTTATATCAATAATTTTAATATAAAATATTTTATAATTGGCTTCAACTCACATATATAACATTTCAGATAAATTTTTACCTCCCACATGCCACTAGGCTAAATCACATTTATCCATCCTTATACTCCCAACAAGTAAACTAAATCACATTTATCTATCCTTATACTCCCAACAAGTAAAATAAACAATTTAGTCAATTTTCAACACAAGCCAGTTATTTGGCCTCATAATCATGCCATTTTAACCAATCCAAAGTAAATCAAATATAAAAATTACAGTCATCCAAAGTATATCAAAAATAGAAATAGTTTGAAAGGCATGATTACATTTATATATTAATATAATTGACAATAAACAAAAAGCCATAATATTAGCAATATAACACATTATAAATCATAAATCAAATACCCAAAAGAGACAGTGGATCTAAACCACTAATCCTCTGGGACTTCTCCACGTGTCACTCGTGGCTCTTCTCTTGAAAATTGTTAACCACATAATGAGATTCAAAAGTTCCAGTAACCAATACCAATTTATGATAGTGTGTACAAACAGTTAAGTGTGTGCTCACTAAGTGAGAATTAAAAATAATATAATTCCAACAAATATATGAAATATTACAATACACACAAATAACCATCCTTATATCCCTCCATTAACCTCGAGCCGTATCCCTCACTCGGTACTAAATTACCCGACCAAAGGTAGATTAGCCCGAGCCCTTACAAGCCACCTATTGAGCTCCAATAGGGACGTACCACGTGGCACATAAATGCAATAACAATAGCAAGTCTCCCAACACCTCTCACAATAATCAAATAAATTCATAATAATATTGCACAATTATATAATATTACAAAATTCATAATTTTCTCAATAATCACCCAATTAACATGAAGTAACACAAATCACAAATTAAAAGCATGGTTACCTTGTGGCTTTTTCAATAAATTATTCCTTACAATTTCTCTCTCACCACAAGCTTCACCAATAATACAATCTACAAATAACATATTATTTATAAATATTAGTTTCAATTTTTGAAACTAATAAAATAATTTTAATAATAGAATTAAAAATATAACATAATTCCTAATCTCAATCTTAATACAAATCTAGAGTCAACACTATTAAGTAAAATTTTTAACTCCTCTTTTAATTATCAATAAACATTAATAATCTAAAAATCAGCTTCTAAACTAATTTCTATTATCAAAATTTTCTTTTTATTTCATAAATTCGTACCTAAAATACTCAAAAATTAAAAATTGAGTCTCTAGCTTAGAATCATAATCCTATAGCCATAATAATTCATTTCTCATCTCAAATAATCATTTAAACCTCAATAAATCAACATATATTTTCAGATCTAGTTTAGAATTTGATCCATAAGCCACAAATTCAAAGATCATCAATAAATTTATACTCTAGAACATTTATTATACTACTGACAACCTCAAAAATTATATTTATTCAATATAAATTCATCCCTCTTCCAGATCTTAAATTTTCTACCACTACAAACTCAGAAACCAAAGAAGAAGGATGACTAAGAAAAAATTTTAGAACACTTATTTAGTCTTGAAAAGCTTAAAATCACACCCTAAATATCCTATTAAAATTCTTACCTTAAAACCCAGCACCAGTGAAACTAACTAGACGCTCTCTCTGCCTCAGCTCGCGCACAGGGAAGAATGAAGAAACGAAGAAGTGAAGAAAGAAGGAAGGAGGTGGGTTTTTATAAAAATTCAGTGGGTCCCACATTTTTTTTTTATTATTTTTTCTTTCCTCTCTTCTTCTTCTCTTTTTATTTTTTTAATATTTTATACGAATGATTGTTGTGCGGCGGCCGAAAGCAAATTTTGTTCTTCTTCTTCTTCCTCCTTTTTTTTAATACCTTTTCCCTTTTCTTATTATAATAATAATTTAATAATAATTTTTTATTATATTATTATTATTTTTTTTTAATTAATTTTTTAAATTTTAATTTAGAATTATATCCTAAGTTAGATTTAATAATCATCTCCTACTAATTTGCTTACCTCTAAATATTTTTTTTTAATTTTTTATTAACACAAAATTAACTATTAAAATTTAAATTAGGATGTTACATATCTCATAGTTCATAATTTATAACTTTAAAATATATACATAATTCATACATATTTCTTGCATTTTTTTCATTTCATAATACTTATCAGGTATAAATATGTATAAATTATAATTTCAAAATATGAATTAAAATAAAAAAAATAATATGTTCAATTAATTTCTTGCTGATTTTACCATTTAGATCGGTTTGACCGTTTCATGGACAGTTCTTAATTTTTTGATTTTCAGTCAGTCCAGTCCAATTTTAATGACATTACTTTTAGACTAATCTATGGAGTGCTTCTGAATAGAACCAGTAGCTTATCCATGAAAGTGTTCAACAGAAACACTCTGGTATCATTATATTCACAATTTCCACAATTGTCCAAACAAAAATCTAGAAACAATAAATTTCACAAAACCGGCAAATTTTGATGACATTATCACTATCAAATAAATCTCATAACAAATAACGTGGCATAGGGACATTACATTTGTTACTAAGATTAGTACACAATTCTTTGAAAATGCAAGCTATTTGCATTAACTGGGGCAATGACAACAAAGGTAAGTGACATGAATATTATTGTGAGTTTTTGAAGGAGAAAACATACTAAATGAGTTGCATCGGATCTAACTATGCGGAAACAGAGTTATGCACTAGAATTTGGTTAGGGTTCACACAACAAATATGCATTTACAAAGAAGAAGAGAGAAAGAGAGCAGAGGATGGATACTCAGAACGCACGCATGAAGCACTAATGAGAAGAGGGTTCTCATTATCCTCATATATCTTCATGCATATTCTATACTATTTAATTAATATTTATATATATTTTTTGTTATCACTTAATTATAGGATAAAGGGAAATCTTTGCTAGAAAATGTCAAAATCTCCTCATATCTTTCTCATTTTATATTTTGCAAGAACAATAAAGTAAATTAAATAGAAACACAAAGAAGAATGAGCATATCCATAGCTATCAAAACAAATATATATATATATATATATTATTGGTTGGAGTTGGAGATTTAGAGAAGATGTGATATCAACAGTAGCCGTGCATTCCGAACTAGATTTTTAAGAACAGAAGATCTCACGTTTGGACATGATTTTCTATTAGATTATAATTTATTGAATAAAGTCCCACATGGATTAGGAAAAAACAGAGCAGGGACATTCACTTTAATTATAAATATTTTTGTTTGTGAAAAAAAGTATTCAATTACTTATTTGAGTACTTAAACAAATTTTTATAAGAATTTTGAGTTTATAAAAATATCTTGAAGGTTGAGAGTAAGATTATTGATGAGTTCTACATATTATATTATTTCGTTTCTACTCCTTAATTTTTTCTATAATCATTTATCATTGTTGCACTCGAAAAATGTGACACAGACGGTGTGCAAGCGGAGATCCCGGCCTTTGGGGCGGAAACTGGTTGAGCGAGAAGTCGCCATCAAAATTTTGAGAAAAATCTTGAAAAATTAAAAAAGGATAAGGATGG